CCAAAGGGCCGTGAAGATGAGGAAGCTGGAGCATCATCCTTATTAACCTGCAGAAGGCAGGGCATCTCCCTTATGAGTTCTTCCATCTTGGGGGAAGAAAAGCCTGAAGTGGGATCTTACCAATGCTTATAAATATCTAAAGGATGGGAGTCAAATGGACAGGGCTGGGCTCTTTTTAGTGGTGCCCCATGACAGGATAAGGCACAAATGGAACACAAGAAGTTCCCTATGAACTTAAAGAGAAACTTCTTCACTGTGAGAGTGATGGAGCACTGAAACAGGATGCCCAGAAAGCTTGTGGAATCTCCTCCTCTGGAGGCATTCAAGACCTATTTGAATGCCTTCCTGTGTAATCTACTCTAGAGAACTGCTTTAGCAGGGGTTTGGCCTCAATGATCTCTAGAGGGTCCTTTCCATTCCTTACGATACTGTGATCCTGTGAAATTTAAAATGTATTACTTCCAGTTAGTTCTATCTTGAAAAAATTGAGTAACTTCTGTTATGTGTCTTTCTTAGTAACAAGCATTCCTATCAAGATAAGCTTTTTTTTTTTTTTTTTTTTAAACATCAAATGTTCATGATAAATTTGAACTTGATTTCTTCTGGAGCAAAAAGCTACAGAATGATGTTCTGCAGTTGGCTAGCAGATAATTTTGATAGGGACAAGTGAAGAAGAGGGTTCTACACTTGGCCGTGCAGCAGCTGGCTTTTTCCACTTGAAAACTGAGAATCTCACTGCCTTGTTAGAGCTAGATATTAATTCCCTGGGAATTTCTCTTTCAACTTCGTGAGAGGCTAAAGTTCCCCCAGATGTCTCTGACTTTTATTGTAGTGGGATAATTGGCACATAGATACATTTTCCAATGACTAGTTTAGCTTTCTTTCATATTTGGTAAATGTTATTAAAACACTTATTTCTGATAATTTCTTTTAGATTTTAGAATGTTTTTAAAATACTTTTTATTTTTTAAGAAAACGATGTAATTTTGGAGTAGGCTACAAATGCTGGCCCTACATTGGTACAATGCAGGTGATTGCTGTGTTCAGCACCTACTGTTTGACAGTAGGTAAAACTCATTAATTAAGAAATGATACTTTAGAAAACTGTGATTTTAACCAACAACACCAGGGTGATTTTGTAGTAATATCCTCTGCAGTTGCTGATTGTAGATCTTATTTTCTTTAGAACTCTCTTTCTGTTGTTATTTTTACTACTTCTCAAAGCATGTAAATGAAAATAAGTTTTAACCTTTTGTTGCTCTCTTTCCTTCTGATCACAGGCTTTTCATGCGGACTTGTATCTTGCTTAGTTGCATTAAAAATGTGACATTTCTAAAATGCTTTAAAATCCACACAAAATGGAATGCAAAAGAATTCATTCATTCCTGTTATACTACATAGCTGAAGAAAAAAAAAATGGTTTAAATCTGAGACCAAATCAGCAAGTAACACAGCCAGTTGGAAGGAATTTCTGGGATATTTTTGATTCAGCATAATATCTGTGAGCCCAATTTATGGATTGGGATCTAATTATTCTAAATACTTTGGAATAAAATGTGGTCTCCCTTTGTATCTTACTGAGAGGTCTTAAATAATTTTACAGGAAGAAATAAATGAGAGTATAAGAGCAGTGCAGTCAGCTTTCAGTTGCTGTGTGTTGCTTAGTTCAGCTATGTTGTGCCACAGATGCAGAAACCTCATGTAGGCACCTGCTGTGGCTCCCTGGACCATGAGGGGTTGAGGAAGAGTGGAAAATCTTGCTCAGCATCAGGGAAAGAATCATCAAGTGAGACTTGATCCACCTTACTAGCTTCAGCTCAGTGCTGGAACTGACTTACCTAAACTTCTAGTAGAGAAAGTTCTGCATTCCTGAAAAAATACTTCCCACCTCTTAGGTTCTCAGGGATTTGCTAGTTTTGCTAGTTTATATATGCTGTTAGATGACCAGAAAATAGATTCAATTCTCAGTGTTCTAATTACTGTTAAGTATTGATGCTTTTTCATTATTCTCTTTTGCATTTTGGAAGTACCATAAAAAAGGAGAGAGATTTAAGAGGAATTTGTGGTTAGTCTGGTAACCAAATGGATACTTGTGCTGAGTCCCTTAAGCAGGAAAAGTAGCATGGGAGAAGACATGAAAATGCTTGCCTGCAAACATGGCAAGCTGCTAATAGAAAGAGGATGTGGCAACCTAACATTAGATAAGGGATAAATGGACCATAGTTACTCTGTGCATATTATTGAGAACAAGTGTGAATTTTTTGTTTAATGTAGTAAAAACTAAAGCATTTTAGTCCAGAGGTAGGAGCTTTTGGCTTAAGGAAATAATCACTGGCAGCAGCAGTGATATACACTTCCTGCAGGCAGGAAGATGAATAAGCTTACTATGTAATATGCAAGTCAGAAGAAAGATGGAAAATTTTGGGGTCAGGTATTAGGGTAAACTTAAGAAAAGTGAGGCAGTGATTGGGTTGATGTATTTATATTGAAGACATCAAATTCGTAACTGTTCTCTTCAGGAAAAGAAAGTTATATTGTGAACTAAACAGCTAAAACAATTCAAGGCAGAGGTGTTGTTGCTGCTCTTCTATTCATATCATTCTGGCTGTGTTGAGTTAATTGAGTAAAATTGCTTAGAAATTCCTCTAGTTTGTACTTGTAATAAAATTAGCACTACTGCTGTGTTTTCTGTGTTTATGTATGTGCGTTTATTAATGTAAGAGATGCTCTGCTGTGTGTCTCTAACTTAAGTTATAGGTCCCCAAATAGAAAGAGGTCTGTAGTAGTGAATATTATATTATCAATATATCAGTAATTTTTCTATTTGAAACATTTTTTCTTAGTTTCACCACATGTAGATTTCTTAGATGTAGATTTGGACTAAGAAGTCCAAAGTGGACTCTGCCTTCTTCCTTGCCTTTCCCTAGCCCTACCCCAAAGCTCCATCATGCAATTTTGTTCCAATGTGTTTGATCTTTATGGATGGAAGCATGTGGAAGGGTGACTTGGGTGCAGTGTCACTGATGATACACTTCAAAAGATCTGTTCTGCCACAGTTCATCAAATAGCAGTCTGTACTGCAATTTTTCCATTTTTTTTTCTTCCAACTTAAACACCTGCATCATTCCATTTAGCATTTGAGTTGTGAGAATATCAAGAGTACGAAATGTGTTACTAATTGGGTGACTATAATCTATGCTGCCTACATAATGTTTGTTCTTCCTTGTGAAGCGTATGCCTCACGTAGTCAAACTTCTGTTCCATTTATTTCAGAATGAACACCTGTGTAACAGTGAGCCAAACCTTGTCCACAGTATTTAGTTACATGACATTTTTTCCTCTGAAGGGAGACCCGTGACAGATCAGTGTGCATGATAGATAGCATTCAGTGAATGAGGCAGCTGCTTAATTTTTGTCATTGCTGTTCACTGCACAGTCCTTCTGAAACCCTGCATGTCGCAAATTCTTCCATTAATAAAAACTGCATACTTGTCCTGGAAGTTCTTTTTGATATAATTAAAGTGACACAAATCTGAATTAACTTACTGGAATATATTAACCCCATTTATTGGACGAGGAACTGAGATATTTCTGGCCTCCCCAGATCAGGAAGGAAATCTATATTAGAACAAATAATTGCAATTTATGAGCAGTCCAGACCAGTTTATTCACTTCAAATCTGCTGATTATTTTAAATCACATTTTAATTGGCATAATCAAGCTATCCCTTGCCATACAGATCCTGAACGGAAACTAATTTCACATGCTTTGTAGACTGTGAAAAGAGTAAGATGAGAATACTGAAGAAGTTATATCTGATCACATAATCCAATTGCGTTAATCTTGTACAGCACACAGACTGTCAAACCTCACTATACGTCTTATTTCTAACATTTTCTTTGTATTTTTGGGGGAGGGTGAAGTGGTAGGGTTGAAACTTGGCTGAAGGACTTATATAGGTATAGGACTATAACAAATAATAAAGTAACAGTAATAAACAATACAGTTTGTGATTTTTTTTTTTTTCTCTTTATGTGAGGCTATAATGCTCTTTCAAAATTCTGTGAGTTAGATAGCCAAGAAAATGACTTTGTAGACTAAAGGAGATGGTACAATTCTAATAAATATATAATTAATGGTTAATATTCTTGTTAGGAAAATGGTTTCTATAGTAACTGCTGCAGATTGTCACTTCCTCTGGCTTTTGGAATACTACCAAAATGCATGTAACACTGATGATGTGAGGGACAAATCCTATGAGAGCTGCAACAGATCCCTGCTAGCAGTATGCTTTATTTGGTATCGAGGTGAATGAACAAAACAGTTCAATATCCATAGATGCTGTTTAAAGACAAGTTCTCCCTACTATTTATTCTAAAGCTCTGCATGCATTTGCTCTTTTCCTTCCAGCTGGAGACTAGCAAAGGCACACAAAATGCTTAGGCATACTTAAGGATTTAAGTTGAAACGTGATTGTGTGTCTGTTCACTGATCTTAAAAACTCTCTGAAGAGATTCACTGTGTGTAATTTTTCACTAATAGAGAGAGAGTCAACGTGGGCAATTGTGTATTGCTTAAATTTCAAAACAAAGCTTATGTGAGTTTTAAGGGGTCTGCTCCTCTAACTTTGTGTTAGCCATGTGTTGCTTCTCTGGAACATGGTGAAGGGAGATTTTTCTTTAGCTTATTGAAGTGTGTATTTGCAAGTGAAATGGACAATCTCAGGGGCCATATATTTTGTTTCAGTGTATGTCTGCGTCTATTTTTGTTTTCCACTTGAACTGAGACTGTATCCGGCATGCTCATTGTCAAGTGAGAGCTGCAACTTTTTTAAGGGGAGGGGAAAATGCTTCAGAGGAGAGAGATTTTTCTTTTTAGCAGCCACTCTGGTATTACTCTGAGAGAAAAAGAACTTCTTTTTTTTGCAGGTTTATGGATATGTATGCAGCACGTCCATACTTGAGGATTTATAGAAACTTCCTTGCTATATTTCTTTCCAGATGGATGAAATCAAAGGCAAAGATAGAGTGATTCTGGCTCTGGAAAAAGACCTTGGCATCCAGGCAGGACATACACAGAAACTCCTCCTTCAGAAAGAAGCTTTGGATGAGCAGCTCGTCCAAGTGAAGGAGGCAGAGAGGTACCACAGCAGCCCCAAGAGAGAACTTCCTGCAGGAGTGGGAGACATCACCGAGTTGATGGGAAGCCCGGTAAGAAAATCCTGTCTCCTTTAAATGGCTAGGACAGGACAACTACTTCCTATGTATTCACACTGATTTTGTGGTTACTTACAAAACACTAGAAGACCTGATTCATAAATGGTCTTGAACTGCATGTAGCATTTGGCTTGTGAGTGAGAAAATCCTTGGAGCAATTCGGTTTCAAAGAATATTGAAAAATAGGTGAACACAGAACTTTTAGAGCCTACATGATGAGCTTCAACCATGAACTTATTTGTTATCTGTGATTAAAAACAGCCTTTCTTTGTCTAGAACCCCTTAATTTTTCTAGAGTTAGTTATTTCATAATTTCAGAAATTATATACCATCCTTTTCCAAAACTGTTCCAAGTGCTTTTAGCGTATGTAATACGCACTAGATTTCTTCTAGATAATGGTTTTAAATCATGCTAGAATTTACAAGTCATGAATGAATTATTTATATCTAGCTTTTTTTCTTTAATATTGTTAACTCTTTACATACATCAGTCAAGTAGACCCATTTCAGGTAAGGTATTGTGTAGCATTTACACAGGATGTTGCTGTTTAGTTTTTCAGTTAATTAAAATAAGTTTTCCAAACACTGATGTAAGAGTCTACTTTAGATTTATACAATCTACTTGCTAAACCATGATATTACATTTATGGATTGTCTTTTCAAAGATAATTTTATATATCTATATGTCTTTGATGCAAAGGAGCAGCATTTGGATGAACGAGATGTGAGGAGATTTCAGTTGAAAATCGCTGAACTGAATGCTATGATAAGGAAGCTGGAAGACAGAAATACTCTCTTAGCAGATGAAAGAAATGAACTGGTAAATTAATTAGTAATAACACAGATGGTGACTGGGAGGACATTTTTTATGGTAAATGAATTAATGCTAAAAAGTCAGTGTTATAAATAATTTATAAATTAGACCTGGTTGGACACAATCAATTATACATAAAGATAAGAGATTTTTCTATGGATATTTACTTTGTCACCATAGACAGGGATGGAATCTCTTTTGTTTCAGAGAAATAAAGCTTTATATATGTATTTTGGGGTCATCGTAACTGAATTGACTGTTAGCTTTCCTGTGGCACTGTCTGATGATGTTGTGTAAAACAAGCATAATCCACGCCCTTAAATTACTGTATTAATCTTTGTAATAGACAAATTCAACAATAGTTTTGTGACATGCTTATGCTAGCTGAGAGTTAAAAAGTGTTTTTCTTCTGGAGATGCGAAATCTGCTCTTTTCTCAAGGGAAGTCTCTTAAGTAGGTGAAACTATCCTAGGAGAATAATAGTACTTATTAAAGAAAGGATATGAATTTTAAGAATGAATTCTATTAGCTGCATTGCTACTTAATTGCTTGTAATGAGATTAATGGGAAAACTCCCATGGATTGTGAAACTGAGTTTTAACAATAAACTTTTTTGTATTTGTTCTGTTATAACGCACTATTCCTAAAGGCAGTAGAAAGGACTTTTCATTTTAAGTAGAATTAAGGAGAATTTTTCCTTCACACAACCTGTGTTTCTGATTCAGAAGTAATGCTATTATGTATGGTGAGGGCACAATTTCTTTCCAGTAGTTTGAGTGCAGCATTGACCTGTTCTTACTCTCTTTGTCAGACTTAGTTTTTCATATTGAGATCAGAGGGATTTATTTTATGATAAAGGGACTTAATTTAGTTGTGATAACTTGATGATTATCAAAACTAATTTTTGAAACATTTTTGTCCGAAGTCTTGGCTGAATCTAGATTAGTGAAGTTAATTGAACCATAATATAGTAAAACTGGATGATTTGAGAGTATAATTGTGAATTTTAAAAGAACAACATAAAACAAACAACTCCCTCCNNCCCCCCCCCCCCCAAACAGCTATGTAAGAGCTTTTTAACCTGGATACTGTTAGCAATTTTCACTACTTTGCCTAGATGCTGAGTAGTGTGCTTTTTTTTTTGCTTTTTTGTTTTGTTTTGTTTTGTTTTTGCTTTCTTTTTTTTTCTTTTTCTTTTACCAGTACAGTTGCTTTCCTCTACTCTGTACTTACAAAAACATCATGCTTTCTTTCAAGGTTGCATTATGTAAAGACAAGATAATTCAGCCTCCTAATCCTTTCTGTGGACATAAGTCAGTCAAAACATCCCTGAAGAATGCTAAAGTACTGCAACATCTTTACTGCAGTGTCCCTCTAAATGGAAGGCATGTATGACTCAGTCAAAAGCTCTTCTTGATGCTTGACTTTGAGGTTTCAAAACATAGTTTGGAATTTTTTCATATTTTGAGACAATACTACATAAAACTAGTGATATCAATAAGCTCCTGTGATTAAGCACTGTGGAGAAAAAAAAATTAAAGAAAACAACTCAAGAACTAACAAAACAGAAGTGGTGAAATACTGAATACACAAAATTCATGAAAGAGCAGTAATTTGTTTCATTCAGTTGTCTAATATAATAAGACCACAGGAGCAAAACTGAACAGCTTGGAAATGTCAGCAGAATGCTGAGATTGAATCTGTGCCCTCTGGCTGCCTCTTGTATTGCCCTAATTACACGCTAGGTATAGGTTTTGCAAAGTAGAGGAGGAAGTGTTTACTAAAGGGTAGTTAAGTTGGTGAAAGATGATGACCCTATATATATTGGCACACAAGAAGCTTATGAACACCAAGATTAGTTTATCAAGAAATCACTTTTACAGATCTTCATAAATTTTTTGTAAGAAGCAAAATCCAAGGACCAGAGCTATTTCTTATTTGCTTGGACTCTTGTAGTTCTTAGTACAGAAGTCTGTATCAGATGCTACTTAAGAAAAGAACTATACTTTCTAATGAATGGAAAGGGCAAGAGAAAACTCACACATTTATTCTTTCCTAAAACTATATATGAAAGCACAGCTTAGCTTCTTCCTTTGCCATTTGCAGCTGAAACGTTCTCGGGAGACAGAAAGTCAGCTAAAGCCTTTGGTTGAAAAAAATAAGAGGATGAGCAAAAAAAATGATGATATGATGCAGTGCATCCAGAGAATGGAAGAAAAAATTAAAAATCTATCAAGGGAAAATGTAGAATTGGTAAGTAATAATTTCTGATGTCTTGTTATAGGTGAACTCAATTACTTGGAGGTGGAAATGCTTGTGAGGCTTTTTTTCTGATAGGCATTTCAGAGTCTAAACAATGAGATGATATAACTGTCCAACTCAGCCAATGCAGTTGAATATTCACATTCTAAGTACAGAGCGGTATTCCTTTGTGTCATTGAGTTGTATCAGTTTGCCCTCATTAAGGAAAAGGATCATGAGTAGATAAAGATATATTTGGATAGTGTAAATGTACAACTAAAAATCAGCTTTAGAAAACAATGGTGTTTTTTTTTTCCTGATTAAAGGCCAAAACAGACTTTGGGACATATACTTAAAGTCTCTACTGTTATAGAACGTCGAGGCTGCTTGTGCTGATTTTTTTTCCAGACTACGTTCTTTGATTCTGTTCTAAAATGTTGTATGTGAAGTACTAACACTAAGGCATATTGGTTAATATTTAGCTGGTAAAACAGGCCTTATGCTCTGGTGGAATATGCACTGATGGGTCTGAAGAATTCTTGATTGCTACGTCATGCACCAGAATTCTCTCATCTTTACGGAAAGATAATTTAAATATTCTTTGTGTTTAATAACAGATTTTATTTTAACTTTTGTAGAAAGAGAAATTATCTGCACAACCAGTGCTGAAGAGGCACACATCTTTAAATGATCTTAGCAGCACACGGGATGAACAAGAAATTGAATTTCTTCGACTGCAAGTCAAAGAAAAGCAGCATGTTATTGATGATCTCACAGTGGTAATACTTCTCATGTCTGGTACACTCATGTATGCATATACATTGGTAGGCAAGCTGAAGATTGGAGAGCAGTATTTTAACTCCAGTTGTAGTAATGGCATAGAAGTAATTCTTTGGCATTGAACTGTTCTTGTTATTTCCCACGTAGTGAATGAATTTCTTTGCAGTGTGTATGTGTTCATCAATTATGGACTGCTTGTGGAAAGAGGTGCATTCACTTTACTTACAAAACTGAATGTCAGCAACTGAAGAACCTGGAGGAAAGAACCTAATAACTGAAACATGTTGGGTATAGATCCTGTTGTAAACCCAACCACTCATTTGACCTAGAATTTCTCCTAAAACAAAGGAACATACAGAACGACTTTAATTCCACCTAATTGAACTGCCCACTCTCTGTTTTTATAGCAAATAGAAATATGTATGATTCATTTAACCAAAGATAGCATATTTTATTTTATTTTGATTGCACAGCTGCTACTCTCTGACTGTGAAAACTACTTAAGATGATGCTCATAGATGTTTGCACTGTTTGGGACTCATTTCAACTGCACAAGAGGTGCTTTATGTTATTTTGGACACTGGGACACACCATTCTGGTGCTGGCAGAAATTATGTACCATCTCTGAGAGACGTGTGCATCTGGAACTCAGACTGTTCTATGGCATCTAAAATAGCACTATGAAAGCTACATAATGATGAAACGAATTTGAGCCCTTTCTGTCTAAATAAGAGATTAAACAACAGAACATTCAAAATAGAAAATAAAAATAGAAGATAACAATTTTAAACAACATGATGTGTTATTACTTGGTCTGGAACTCTATTCTTGGCAGTTTACCTCAGATTTTGACCAAGGATTTCTCTCTGTAGTCTTGCCAAAGACATCTGTGTGCATTGCCCAATGTTGCAGTGTTATGAGCAGTGGGATGTTATCCAGACACCAATGCTGATTCACAGAGAGATGCTTCTTTACCTTCAAAATACAACTCTACAGACAGGGACTATCTCATTACATTAAATTCCCAATGTAAGCAGGTAGAACCTCACCTATATTTCACTGTGAAGTGGATGTGACTCAGTAATTTGAGGAAATATATTGTAACCTAAGTTTGGTCAACTAATATTAACTAGTGTGAAAATAAGATTTAGTGTGAAAATAAGATTAATAAGCATTGCAAAATATGGTCTCATATTTGGTTATTTCGTATCCTATGTACAGATGTTGTTTCGCTGCAGAAATAGGTGAAATTGTAAGCTAGTGTACTGCTTTGCTTGTCAGTACGAACTAATTGATGCTTTGCCTTCAATATGAGTGCAGTGCCGTTGTGCTTTTTAGCTGTATTTTCTGGTTCAGTTCCCACCTCAGGAAAAATACAGATGAATCATAAAGAATGACCCACATGTCACATACCTGATTAACACAGAGGTCATCATCTTAATTACAGCTGAGTACAATATGATACACACATAAAAGAAAGATAGTCTACAGCAATAAGGCTGTCTGAATTGATTTACACTGTCATTTCCAGAGTATCTTTGATGCTGTTGAAGACCTATCAACTTGAGTTCTCCCATAACCATGGTTTCTTGGCCAGTTCTTAAAAGGAAAACTGTCAGAATAAACTGAGATGCTTACAAAAGACACAAATGATTCAGCAGATAGTTTTTCTTTAATTGGTGTTGTTATAGTTCTGGTTACTTGAAGTAATATTACAACAGAAAGTAGATTGAGCAGTCTTACACAAGATAAGAAACAGGAAAAAATCAGGGTATTTAGGAAGTGTTTGTTTAATTCTGTGGAGGTGGAAGAGGAAAGAGAAGGAAAGAGAGAAAGAATATCTCATTTCTCCAATAATTTGAACAGCAGCCTGGGATGCAGGAGACCTGTTGTTAAAGCAGGGACTGTGCCTTAACTCACTCTCTGAGAAGTGAACATTGTTTTTCTACATCTTCTAAAATGTAGCTGTGTGTTTACAGCTTTAACTTGATACATTATATTTTCCTATACTGTGAGATATCTTCAGTCTACCTTGGCAGTCATTACTTTCCTGTATTTTGAAAGCCAGGTGTATGAAAGGTGCTATAAAAAATTTCTGAATTATTTCTTTTTTTCCAAAACTTCTTTTTTGAAACAGTGTACTTACAAAATGAATTATTTTATTTTGATTTCTACTTGGAGCTTCTCATTCAGTTTCTGAACTGAATGTATAATGAATAACTCTGAAAAGAAAAATATACTGTGAGCAGTGACTGCTAGAGATGAACTTGCAGCTGCTATTATTCTTTTAAAAGTAGGAACGTTTCAAAGATGTAAAGCTAGATAGATCACCTGCTGTCACCTTCCCTTCCCCCTTTCCACATTCTCTGAATTTCTTACATTCATTTTGAATTTTTAAATTCAAGGCAACGTTCTTGTGTTTGGATGTTTGTAAACCCAGTATTTTTCATAACATAGTAAAGTATGATATCGTTCCATGGCCATGTTAAAAACTAGATGTAGGCTAAGGCCTGATTTCTCTTGATGAGAAAATGCCTTTGCATTTGAGAATTTTGCCAATTTATTCCTATAAATTACACATAACTCTATCTGGCTGAGATTCATTTTTGCCTACCAACATGCATCTTCAGAATGATTGAACGTTGGAGTGAGAAAGATAATTCTGGTTCCATAGTGAGCCTTTTGGTAAAGGTGTCAAAAGAACTGCCAGAAATCTGTGCCCAATATTTAGCAAAGCCTTTTCTTGCCAACTTCCAATCAAGCGTGTAAAGTGTGTGGCTGAATGTTTATTTGCTAAAGGGATACAACTGCAGTACAGTGTGGTGTGACACCAACATGGTGTAGTCTGAGAGAATAAAGACGTTGTCTTTGTGTTGGCTTTATCTCAGCTTTCAAGAAACTTGTTAAATTTCTTTGTGTTAAATGTATCTATCTATCTATCTATCTATGTTTCAGAAAAAATCTACACCAAAATGTTATCTTTTCTTTTAGGAAAGGGAACGACTATTACGATCTAAAAAACAGAAGAAGAAAATTCTGAAGCCTCAAAAGGTGAGCAAACCTTCATGTTCTGGTTGTTGTGAATAGCAGATATTTCAAATACTACCCGAAATTAGAGCTCTATTTAAATTAATGTTAAAATTTCATATAACTCTCCTGTTTTCTCTTGTAGTTATTTATTAACTTTTTCCTAAGGATAATGTAGGAGCTCTAAGATTTGAACTGTGTTTAAGCTTGTTTTTGATGCATAAAAAATCACATTTTTAGCCACTGTGACCTACATGTTCAAGTGGCTTGAGGCCTACATGATATAATGATTTGAAGTGTAATTTTACAGAAAATACACCCCTTTAAAGTACTTGCAGATAGTTATTGCTTAATCACAACTGAAAACTTTAGCTCATGCTGGGGATGAAATGATATTTCTGTAGATAAAAATAGAAAAAAAATATATAACTATTTTTCTCTAGTAACTTCTTTGATCTAGAGTGCAAAGAGAAAAAAATAGCATTCAGAAATTGAAAATTTTGTTTTGGACTGTGCCTTCAGTGCTTATTTTAATGTGTTTTAAAGTAATTGGTTTTGCTGAATACTGTTTTATTTTTGCAAAGCTGAACATTAACAGCCTGGAGCATGTGAGGGAAGGAGAATGGGATAGGAGGGAGAAAATGGAAGTGAAGAGTGGAGAGGTTATTATCAGGTATATGACAGTATAAGATGCATGCTTTTGTAAATGAGTATTACACTAGTTGTCAGTGTTCAGCATCATGTACTTCTGATGACCTCCAGGTGGTGCATTTTTATAGCTCTGCGTTCTGTTATATGTATTCTGAAAGAATTATCCCTTCCTGTTCTCTGTGTTGGTGATAATTCTTCAAGTGATACTTCTAATAGTGATGTGTCTTTGTCATATAAAGAAAGAATATGATGATAAATCTTGCATATCTTCTACTTTTAGGCAATGTAAGTCTGATAGAGGCCGAATGTATTTATAGTAAGCTGAACTATTTTTGCTATTGTTGTACTGTACCCAGAAGTTTGTCTGTTGTGAACAATTTTAAAATAGGACTTTATGCATATGATGGGTTGCTCTGAAAGTAATGCATCCCATCTTATTATGGTGGCCTGAAATGTCAGAGGCAGATGGTGGTATGGCAGTAGAGGGTGGACCTTCCTACCAATATTCCATTACATTTTGCTGCCATGTGACTGATGGCAGCAGAGGGGCAGTCTGACAAAATGGTGCCTGATACAGAAGTGTGGATGAAGCAAAGGTGTGAAACTGAATTCTTCCACAAGGATAAATTTATTATGTGCCATTGAATATTATGTGTGATTTTGGTAATGATGGCTGCTTTTGTGTGAAGGCACAGCTAATCTGTCATTATATCTTAGTATCAGATCAAGTAAGTTAGTTTGCTCTTTTGCTGTACAGTTTAAGATCAAATTGTTATTCCTCACTCTCAGATTCTCCACAGAAATATACTGAGTTACAGCTGGAGTTGAGATTTTAACAGAAATAAAAATAATAAATCTCCAAAATCTATAAAACCCACCACCAGCAAAAAACCCAGCCCTTCTCCCTCTCCACCGTCCAAAACTGCCTAATGTCCAACTGTCTTCTTTCACTTTGTACGTTGAGGCTATTGCCAAATAATAATATACTTGTAGATGCATTTTAACATTCCATTCCCTGTTTTTTTTAATCATGGTTATAAGCCAAATAAATTTTGTTTTGTTACACTGTTATTATACAGGGGCAGCATAGCTTGAATCTACATAGGCAACTATATTGAAAAGCTTTAAAATCTAAAGCATTTAAAATCTTCTCAAAGTTCTTCTGTGAAATGTGCTTTGTCTTAGTTGTGCCTGAGTAGCTTTTTAGTTTAGCAGGAATTGCAAAAAGTTAGCTCAGGTCAGGAGTTTCTTTTTTTTTTTCCCTTGCAGATCACATTTCATGAAGGGAGAATCAAAACAGTTTGAGAGTCTAGTTAGGTGCTAAATAAAGAAAGATAAATCAAAATCCTCAAGGCTAAGTAAATTTCCTGCTCCTTTTTACTTACTAGAACAGATTACCCAGATGTCCTGTGGGGATTGTACTGTCTCAATTTTTACAGCCTGTGTCAGTAATTGAGTTGAAAATTGTAAAATTCATCAAATCAAATGCTATGTCAGAAGTCACTAACAGTGGTGAGATATAGACATCTCGCTCTGAGTGTACCTTACAGAGCAGTAATGTTTTGATTGTTCTCCTCTGGAAGCAGGTACCTAAACAGGCCATGTGAATTTTGTCTTGAAAATATCTACTTCTCTCAAAGGATTTTAAATGCAGTCTAGGATGAGATACTTTCTATAGAGACATGAACAGTGCAAGTGTACTTCAGTCTATGATCCGTGTGAGATTTTTATATCCTACGGATGATAACCTATATATAGCAGTAGAAGAAATTATGACTGTATCTGTCCTACCAACCACGCCGAAGGAGAAATTACTGATGTAAATTTTTGGCTTTGCTTTTCTAAGATTTGTTAAATGTGAAATTATCATTGGCACCAATGAATTACCAGGTTTGGCTATTGGAGTTGGATCTGTTTCCAGAGCTGTAACTCTCCTTGATAATGTGGAAAAGGAAATAAGTGATGACAATTAAGTTTCATTTCTGGTCAAATAAGCTTATATTAGAATGTGTAGAAGGTTCCTTTTTTTTTCTAATAACGAGGAACTAAGTGCACAGGTGGGATACTATGAAGGTGATGATGCATTGGCACAAGCTGCCCATAGAATCTGTGGATACCCCATCCCCATGAGACTTTTTGCAACCTGGTCTAGTGGTTGGCAATCCTGCCCATGGCAGGGTATTGAAACTGGATGGTCTTCAAGCTTCCTTCCAACCTAAGCCACTCCATGATTCTCTTTTACTCCTGTACTCTTGCAGTTTTTCCTTAAAAGGGTACTCTTATAATCTAGCTTCCTTAATTTTCATGATATTCTGATAAGATGCTGTCCAGTACGTGAAAGTTTCTAGTATTTTCCTAACAGCTATTCCTGCTAGGTAGAACAAAATCCATGGCATACCTTTGTTGGTCTTTAAGATTTGTGTGAATGATCTGTCAAGGCTAATCCGATAGCCTTTGTAGCCCTGTTGTGGCTAAACAATGTTTGTTCAGCTGCAAAGCTTTTGAAAGTACGAAGGATTTAAATATTTCATTTTACAATTATATATCTATGTTATTTCTGGAGTACTGTAAGCGCACTAGGTTACTGTTGCTAGTGTAGCTTTAACTGAGATCTCTTGCAATTACCAAGGGACGTAGGTGTCCATAGGAGAGAGTGTTGGCAACCAGCTCAGGTGCCCCTGAGGAAAGGAGCAGCATAGTGGGATGGGATTTACAATCTCTGTTGATTGTAAGGTGTTTAGAGGAGTGAGTAATATAATGATTGTGGATATTTGAGTACTGTAAGGTATTTTTCGCTGAAGAAGCCTAAGAAAATAGAGATTTTTTTTTTTTTTTTAAGTTAATGTGTCACTTGTTAGGAGAAAGACGTACCAGGTGTGAATTCTCTTTTCCTTCACTTTTCAAGGTGTTTTCTTTGCCTCCCGCAGCCCTGTTCTGGAATTGATATAACCAAGGAAATCTGGAAAGTGTTTTTTGTTTGTTTGTTTCGCACCCAAAGAATGGAATTCTATGATTTCATGATTGATGATGTTATGCTTTTGAAAATAAAGCATTATTGCTCAGTTTCTTTGGAAACAGCAGGTCTCTACAGACCTGATTTTTTACTTAAACTTTAAAAAATAAACTGTGTTTGCAATAGGGGAAAGCCTGCACTCTGTTGTGATGGAGTTCATATTTCTGGTTTTATATTTTTCTTTTTTTATCTGTCTCTGTGCTTTGGTGTGCCTGTATTTTTCTGGCTGCCAAGAAATGACATATAAGCATGAAGGTAAGAAGTTACTGATTAGTTCCTCTAATTGAATTGCAGGGAAATTCATCCCGATAATTTTCATCATGTTAGATTAATTTATTGAAAAACTGGATATTTGACCGTGAAGTGAGACTGCTTTAGGAACCCAGAAATCAGATTACCATAAAAAATGTGAGGGTGTCTTGAAATACGCGTACTGAAAGTTTTATGTCTTGTTCTGTAACATTCTAAACTTTTATATTTACTAGTGCTGTGCTCCACTAGGAGCCTTAATACTTGAGTTACAAAGACCTAATGCATTATTTTACTTCAAAATTATGTGAAGGAATTGATATAAATTCACATTAAAAATACTTTCTATCAAATATGTGACAGTAGTCAGAGGAAATTAGAATTCAAATCAGAATTTTTCAGCAACTGATTTGACTTTTCTCAGTTATGATTTAGAAGTAACAATTGAATACACATATCAATATAAAAGCATAATTTGTTGAGAACTTCCCTGCTTCTTAAGAAAAGCTTGAATAAATCTTCAATGAAAACCACATAGTTACCAAAATCCAGTAGGTATTGTACATGTGCACATATTTTTTTCAAGAGCCATTGTGATTCAACTCTTAAGCTATACGTGGAGTCTCCCTAGAAGGCAGCATCTCAGGGAAGTGCCTCTGGCAGTTCTGCTGGGCTCACAGCACTAGGATTGCAGTACTTCCTATGGGACAAACAGAGCAGTAAGGGGCCACTATAGGGTTTTAATACAACAGCTGCACTCCTTTTCCTGTGACTATACCCCACAGTAATGCTAGTGGGTTAGTAGCTTACAAAAATAAGATTGGTTTCTGAAGACTGTTCTAAAGTTTTTGGCCACCTGTATAGCATTAGGTTTATCTGTATATCTGTGGATGGAGAGACAGATTTGGAGAAGATGTGACTTCTTTTTTGAGTGCATAGCATCCTTTCTGGAGCTTTTTGTAAAATCAGTTAGTTTATAAGTCAGTTTGAATTATATATTTTTTAATTATTATGTGGTAGTCTTATCTCAAGGAAAGCAATTGCTTAGGACATGGCCTTGAGACTGACTTCAGTAGTGTGAGTCGGATCAGCTGTATGTGAAACAATTATAGAGCTGTTTAGCTAACAGACGATGAGAGCTAGAACTGATAGACCATGGTAACCTGGTGAGATGGACCGTAGAGGACCAGAGCTGCAGGCTGTAAGTGCAGTGTGTGTATAAATGCAGGCACCAATGTATCCCTCCCAGCTTACTTCTAGGTTACATCTGAATAGATACTGCAGTCCTCCACTGCAAATCTTGTGAATCAGATCTTTATGACTTTGAAAATTGGTATTTATGTTTGTACTAAAGCATTACTTTACAGACAATTTCCCATTACTATTTGGAGTTCTGACTAAGCAAACAGTGATGGAATGGTAACTAATTCAATGGAACAAGAGTTTATGCAGGGACTGCTTTTCCTCCTGAATGGTCAGAGAAGACTTTGACTGCTGTTTACTGGGTCATTGGGTTTTTCTAGCTGTTTTGCTAATAACTGAGGAAAACTAACTTTTCAGAGGCATGTTGTGGAGACATTTTTTGGATTTGATGAAGAATCCTTAGACTCAGAAACATCATCTATAACTTCATATAACACAGATAAAACAGACAGGACACCAGCAACACCAGAGGAAGATTTGGAAGATGTAAGTAACAGATGATTTGTTCTTAACTTACTAAAATTTGTTCTTAACTTACTAAAATTGGCACAAAGTATAAGAGCAACCATTTTTTCAACTGTTGTGCCACAAGAACAAAAATATTTTTGTGTGAAAGTTTTGGCAGAGAATTGTTTTGTTTTGTTTCAAGTCCAATTTTAAACCTCATAGTCACTGTAATAAAATAAGATTCTGCCTGTTAGATCTGGTTGATACTGAGCTGAGAAACAAAGCATGTTGCTTTGCCAAAACTAGACTTTAGTTTGCCTTTTGACTTTATAATTTGTCCATATTTATACAACCATGATTTTTTTTTCTGTTTTCAAGATACTGAGAGAAGCTTTTGCAATTCATTAAGGCTTAAGTGATTATAGGAGTAAATATCCACTGTCGTGTTTTGTCTGAGCTCTGTGACACACACTGCAGTTGGCCTGCTTCAAAAGATTGCAGAGCTGAGGACAAAGCGTGAATTACATACTCATTCATCTTTCTATCCTGTTTGCTAACTTATGACTTACATTATTCACTTGTAATGGGCTTCCTACTTTTCTAGCTTTAATATCTAGTAATATTTTAATCTCTTTTCCTTGCAGCCTGACTTCCAGGAGCAAAAATTAAAGAACTTTTCTTGCCCTCAGCATTATGGAAAAGATCTTGAAATTGTTGATATCAGTTTTTCAAAATTCTAAGCAAATTCAGACATTAATATTACTCACTGCAAAAAAAAAAAAAAAAAAGATCTTAGTTCTATTGAGATGAAACTTCTGTGGTAGTGTGCTTGTGCTGGTAAAGTGCTTTATGCTGACGTGGTAGAGACAAAGAGTAATAGAGTGATGGGCTGCATGACAAGTAGGATTTATACCTTGTGGCACTGGAGTTGATGAAGAAAAGTGATAAACATAAACACAACTGTTTTACATCATGGTTTCTCAGTCAGTTTCTTGAAATTTCTATGTATTACTGCTTTATATAGCAGCTGACACTGTCCTGCAATTTTAAGGTAAATGTAGCTGCTGAGCTCTGCATTTCTCATTCATTTTTAAAACATCTTTTCTTCCATTTCTATTCATGTCATTTTTCTTAAAGCTTTCTTGAAGTTTGAGACTCAGAAGAGTTGTGTTGCTTGTTGTGTCTTTATATATTCAGAAATATAATATGCATTTATTGTTATGTACACAAAAACACCTGTTTTTCCTCTTCACTAAGAGCACACCTAAAGAAGAGGCTGAACTAAGATTCTGCCAGCTAACAAGAGAATATCAAGCTTTGCAAAGAGCATATGCATTGCTTCAAGAACAAGTTGGTGGAACTCTGGATGCAGAGAGAGAAGCAAGGGTAATTATTTTAACTGTAATTTCTTTTACCTCTGAAATATTTGAAAAAGCTGAAAAAATTTTGCATAGCAGGATATGGTAGCATTATTACAGCTACTGTTAAATTTCAATTTCAGAGGCACCGATGTACTCAAAAATTGTGAGACCATTGCATATTGTCTCTGCCTTCATGGGAAGGAAAGCAATGATATGAATATTTTTGTTCTAGCTTTTTAAAATTATCTTTTACAAAATGATTGCTCCTTCTTGTTAATGACATTTTTGAGGGAGTTGAAGGTTTTCAGAAGGTAGCTTTTTGCGTGGTTAATTTTGCAAGGCACACTGTTCTGATGTGATGAGTATTTCCTTCTACTTTTGGATGAGGCTTAAGGTAAACAACAAGGACCTAAAGATGCAGAAGAAAATCCCTATGGAAATTTTTGAACTTAGGTGAAAAAGTAGCTGAAGTTGGATAGGAAGAATAACTGTAGTAGCTCAAGGATCCTCAGTTACTGAGAATCTCCAGAGATTTTTCCTTTTGTACATCTTTTGTTTATTTACTTGTATGATTCAGTCCCTTTTAGGACATCTCTGAACATGGCGGGTAGATGGTTTAGGAATTGTTTAGAAAAAAGAAAATACAGTGGTGTATGCAGTGAAAGTGTAAATGCATTATTTTGGGTCAATGCGCTTCATTTTCATATAGCTCTTGAAATTGTTTAACTCTTAGGAGCTTATTCAGTGCTTATTGCAATTGTCTTGCACTTTTTTCCTTGTCTTTCACTTTTTCCATGAACAGCTTCCTACGAAGAAGTATTTCAGTACCTAACATTATTTTTTTTCTGAGAAGAGCTTGATCACAGAATATGTATAGACTAGAGATGACATAGGCTACAAATGAAAAATACTCTTAAACTGATGGCTTTAAATATTTTTTGAGCATAAACTCAAAAGCATTTGTTTTAATAGGAAGCATTAAAAGCTGATTAGATGATCCAAAAGAGAGTTAATTTGATTCCATATGTGATTAAATATAGACTTCATAATACAATTTTCTTTTTTCCTCAGACTCGTGAACAACTGCAAACTGATCTTCTCCGATGTCAGGCAAAAATTGAGGACCTGGAGAAAGCACTAATTGAGAAAGGCCAGGTAAAAGGCTCTCTTAATGTCCTCTACAACATCATTTTCTCTCTTGCATGCAGTGGTGCCCTTGCCATCTTCGTTGCTTGCTGGTGTGTTAGTGTGTCCGATGCAGTTTAATTACTACTGCAGCAGTGGATTATTTAAAGGAAAATGGTATTTATGGTGACCACCAAAGATTCATTTTTTAATACATAATACAGTCAGTATAATGCAGAATTATCCACATATACATGCATTCTAAATTCTGTTCCTACTGTTATTCAGTGTAGTTTTCTCTCTTTTCTGTTTTGTCTTTGCTATAAATTCCAACAAGATGAGTAGTCCGTATCATAGAATATTTTGGTGTGTAACACAGGAAAACATAGGAGAAAAATATTTTTAGCTTCCCTATATTCTGGAGCAATAAACTGCTGAGTGTATCTGGCCACTGGAAGCCACTTGCTGTGTAAACTCTTCTGAGCTTCATTTCTTGGAGGACACAACTACTTTCAAATTGCCATAACATCACACAGAGTAAAATTAGGCTTCTGTATACCTTGAAAATAACTGCAAAGATCTGGCTACTGATGCATATTTAATAATATTTAGGATAGTCAGGAAGACTGATAAGAGAGTGAATGGTGGATTTAAAAGATGTTCAGATGCATAAGTGCTAGAACACACTGAGAAAATTGGATGTTATTTTATCATTTCTTTATTGTTTAAAATAACAGCTTAAGATTGCTGGCAGTATATGGTAATAAAAGTGGGTTATTTATCTGTAGATACACAATTTGAAGACTAATAGTCCTAAAGTACCAAATGAAAGCAACCTACAAATTATGTCAGGTTAACGCTATTGATATCTTTATATTTTCTATATAGTTTATAGTGCTATGTAAGAAAACTTTCTGTAAGTTTCTGTATAAATTTGAATACTTGGGAACCATATTTAAATTGAGGATAAAAACTGATAAAAATTGTTTATGCTCACTTCCATACCAACTGCAATTTGCTTAGTAAATTCTATGTAAGTAAAATATTACTAAGGAATATGTTATCAATATAAAAATGATGACTTGTTGAGGTTTTGGAGGAATAATTGGAACTGAAAACCTCATGAGGATCAACTGCATTTCCATGTGTTGATGATGATGGTGATGTAGGCATATTGCTGTGTAATGGAAAATAATAACAAAGTAATTGACCATTACAGTATAAAATGCAAGCAGTATGTATGTAAATATGACAAGTGAAAATGGATACACATGTAAGAAATTACTTCTGAGACTTCTGTTTCTAGAATGGCAGTATGAAAAATATATATCTAGAAATTAGAACTTAGGTAGTTTATTACATTATGGGATTCTTAATCATATTTATGACCTTTTATCGCTTAGTAATCCTGAGAAAGCCAACAGGGGTGTGATAAGGAGCAATACAATAGTATCCCTATGGGGCTAGTTTGTACACTGAGCATTAGATTTTCACAGAAGTTGTCATAGTGTCTTCCTGAGAGCTGAAGAATCTACTTAGTTTTCCTAACTTGTTAGTCCCTATATTCAACAAAATAAATGATTGTGATAATAAACTGACATCTTTGTGCCCTATGTCATTTTTTAAAATTACTTTGTCATCTAGGAGGTCATAATAATGCTGACTACTTGATAAGACTTGTGAAATGTTCACTTGGAGAACCATTCCATAACATATTTTCATAAAGGAAGCAATGAATTAAAAGATTCTAGTGAGTTATCCCAGGATAATTTAGTCTGCTAAACTGTAGGAAACAGAAGCTGTGAAGACTTTATCAGCTCTCTTGATATCAAATTCAGAACAAAAAATTGAAATCTTGTCGTTAAAAAGTAATTTGAATCTTGACGGATTAGTTTTTTAATTTCAAAAATTCTGGACAAATTCAATGTTTTTCAGTACTCATCTTAGTACTGTATTCTTGGTATGTTGCCTTTAACTCCATAACAAAAGAAATTGTTGCATGGTAGTTAAAATGCGCTGGCCCATACTTTTTACAATTGGGAAAAGGAATAAAGGCTGTAGAGTATGAAACTTGATCACTGTAAGCAGAAAATCAAACTTTAAATTTAAAAAAAGAGAGTGGGTTAAATATTGATTTTTCTTATAGCTGACCTTTCAAGGCCATTTATAGGGCTTGGATAGCCCGATTTCATTATTTTCTACTGCAGTATCAACTTGCAAAAACCTTGCTGACAAAAAGTATCAGCCCTAGTACTTTAGAAAATCACTTAGATTTTAAACAAGTTGTCTTTTTTACCTGGAAAATACTATCATAAAGCACAATGAACTAGGTTGTGCAAATACTTTTTTCTATAGTGACTAGAATGAATTTGGATGTTAGAATCCATGAAGTCTGAACATCTAACTTTGTTTCTGTAATCTGGGATATTTGATGAGGTCTGTTAAAGCCACAGAAAAACCTAAAAGCAAAGATCAGCTTTGGAGCAAATGATCAAATAGAAACACAGTTTTCAATTGGAGAATCTGATATTATCACCCTTCCTCCATTGTCTTAAATTTCCTGTCACAAACACTGTGTATTAGCCTGATTCTCACACTTCTACCAGAGAGCAACTGACTGTATGTCTCTGAAACTAAATTTCATTTGTTTTGTGTAATAATTTTTTCTTTTTCTCCAGTTGGATTTATGTTATAAAACTCAAAATCAGATGATTTTGCAAGAAAGTTCTCATCTTTTTGCAGTGGAAAAGAAATAGTTTTGAATTAAGCTAAGTTGAATAAATAAATCTTTTTAAAATGACAGAATATCATATATATGTGTTTACCCACAGTTACTATATGTAAACCTTTTAAAGTAAATGGATGGAACAAATTAGGAAATGGAAGACTAAGCTTCAGGAAACGAAAAGGAACGTTTATTTTTTCTATAGATCTAGTTTTATTTATCTTTGAAATGCTTATGATTGCTTTGTTCTTTGATGAGTGATCATTTCCTTACATGAGTGTGCAATGGTCTGGAATTTTCTAATTGTACTTATTTGTCTTATTCAACAACATATATGTGATCTTTTAAATTTTCTTCTTCCTCATAGGATTCAAAATGGGTAGAAGAGAAGCAGTTGCTAATCAGAACAAATCAGGAGTTACTAGAGAAGGTATATATTCAGAGTCTGGCAATTTCTTTTGCAATATCTGTGCTTTATCATAAAATGAATGGCAAAAGGAAATGAATGTATGTAATATGGGGACATCAACATAAAAATTGCATTCTTTATTTTTCTCCAGAAACAGAAATTCTGATTTTCTCCAATTAAAGTGCTAATACTTATGTATGCTTTGGGAATGGAAACTGCACTTTACTGTGGTACTACACATTGTAAAACCAGTGTGTCTGATCGTTCAAGTTTCTGCCAAAACATAACCGTGGTAATATGAAATGCTTGAATTTTACCAGTTACACAAAGATTCTTATTGCCAGGACCATTCAAACAAAAATTCTAAAATTATCTGCTCACTTCAGCAGTTTTTTCACATTAAATAATATTAATTGACTAGACTATTATACCTTTTGTTGTCTGAAATATTCAAAGCTAAACATTCTCACTGGTCTTTACTAATCTAGGTAGAAAAGTTAGCTGATACTTAGAATGTAACAATTATTTTTGTTCTTAGTAAATGTAGAACAATATTAATACAATAGGAACAAGATGAAGTGCATGAATGAAAGCAACTACAGCTGGACTTGATTTGTCCAGACACTTATATGGCTATTCTAAGTAACTGCAACATCACTGTCTGCTATATCATATTCAGGAACTCCTCTTCTGTCCAGTTTCACATAACTAAAAAGACCACCCAGTTAAGCCAGCCAGTAGACCAAAGGTATTAATTGACATGATGAGGGCCAATTTTGAATTTCTATTTTATCACTGTTAGTGTGCCAAAGCAGAAATCTGGAAAATTAAAAATTAATCATTAAAAAACCCTCCATTATTCTCCATTATATATTGTTTTTACAAAGATAATTAGAACAGTCTGTCCAAAGTTAATCAGTTTTATTAACCTGATTTTAAAAGTAAGCTTGTATTCCCTCACTTGTTTAGATGTAATATTCATATAGCTTTTCATACTGTTTTCCAAATTACTGTTCTGCCAGTTCTTACAAATACTTCCAGATGTGATGTTTCTTCTTTATGCCCAAGGCAAGTTCCAACATCTAATGAGAAACTCAAGTAACAGTTTTGCCTGAAACTCTGACCCATAATTCAGTATAATTCCCTTTCTGGTATTTACAGAATGTTAGATGTTGTGTTTTTCTCATAGATTTACAGAATGGAACAAGAAGAGCAGCAGCTGAAGAACGAGATGCAAGATGCAAAAGACCAGAATGAGCTGTTAGAATTCAGAGTGCTAGAGCTTGAAGTAAGAGATTCTCTCTGTTGCAAACTCTCAAATGGAGCAGAAATTATGTTTGAACCCAAGCTGAAATTCCTGTAAAGATTACTGATGTCTGGTGCATGTTTAAGGGAAATCACTTAGGTATATATTTTTTAAATGTTGTATCTTGGGATAATGAGATTGATACCACTGCCTTAATATGTTTTGGAGAGAGTACTCACTCATGTTTATAAAGATGTAATATAGCTAATATATATTGCATATAGTTTGTTTTACATCTAATAAAATATTTTGTTTTGCAATATTTTGCCTTTTTTTATTTGTTTCATTTCCATAACTACTCCTTTCCTGCATGTGAAATCACTTGGTATGTATACTACAGCCTTGGTTGGCATTGCTTCAATTAACACACCTTCTCACATCTTGCATGCAGTGAAATCTAAAGATCTGACACATCCATCACATCAATGTATAATTGCTTTTAATTACACTGACTTAAGATTGACAGCAGTAGTACGAAGTAAAATGGTATCAAAAGAACACACTTTGATAGTAGTTTTGAAATAGTTTTTCTTACCTGAAATATATTTTCTGATGGTATAAGATGGTCATGGGATGAAAATAATTTTCACCACTCAAAAGAAGGAAAATAAACCTCTAAGAAAGTCAATGTTAGAGGTGAGGCACGAGTACAATTTGTGGAAGTGGGAAATTGCCCATAGCAAACTTCTTTAACAAATTCTGTGAAATAACTGTGAAATTATTTTCATGAATAACAGTTTGAACATGTAGCCTCTGATCACAGTAGAAAGCAATGGTTCTCGTTGCCTTGTAAATGAGGCCCATGTAAAATGCAGTAAGAGTAAACAGCTTGCGTGAGATGTAGTCACACAGTCATACTGTCTGATAACACGTAGTTCAATTTCAGAGATCATCAGCCGTCTTAACACCATCTTGAATAAACTCTCCAGGAACTCTCTCAGTGTCACTTCTTCATAATTTTCATCACACAGCACGTTTCACCAAAAATCTTGGCATGTGTAATTTTTCTGCTAAAGATGAAAACGTCATGTCATCCTGTTGTGTGGACATTCCTCTTTTTCTTTTATCTTTGATATTTCTTAATCTATTTTTAATCATTTATTTTATCAACCATATATCTTGATATCATAGTACATGTTTAAAATTAAGAATTTATGTTTTTAGAATTTCAGTAGATGTTCTGGGAAATAAAAGTACTTTCTAATATATATTCTTTATATTTTATTAAGCAACTGTAGATTAAAATGCTGAACAATTCAGCATTGAATTTCCAGTTACCTTAGAATCTGCTCATTAAAATGTAAGTGTTCTTAGAAGTACAGCAGTCTGAAAAAATGTCCTTGAAAGGAAAATTGCTTCAAAACATCCTTCAGGAAACAATGTTTTTCACATACAAAAATCACTTGAAAAGTAGTTCAGTTTAAATGGTCTAGGTTCATTATCTGCCGAATATTTAAGGACTTATTTCATAGGATAGCAAGGGGACTATTTTTGTATGATTGCAGTAAAAGACGTTTTTCCTTTGTGGGCAAGCATTTAGACACAAACGTGACTGACAATGTGAATGCTTTAGTAAAGTCGTGAACACTTCTCATAACCAGAACATTTTTTTCAGAACACCTAAACTGTGTCAGATAAAAATTACATTAATGTAGAAAACAGAACAATTTCCACTAATTTAACACAAGCAAATACAGTTGAGTTTAGTGTAATAGCAAGTGACTAATTAAAAAAAAAAAATCTAAATTGGTAATTGAATTTGGAAAAGAATTAAGCTTCTGGTTGGTCTCTGAATAGCTGGATCACTTAAGTCCATTTCAAAATTATGCTGCTAATAGAAAAATTATTTAAAATAGTGATTATGAGACAGAAAAAATGTATAAAGTGAAGAGAGATTTTTCCCTCCATATTGTAGGTCCTAGCTTGGCTAGTCAATGAACAAGAGCTGCCACACTTTGTAACCTGCTTAAGTGAATGGGTGCTTTCTACTTGTGATTACCAATTAAAGCACCTCATTTGTGGTTTAGAAATCAGGTAATGCTTGAACAGAACTTACTAAATTTGCAGCAACTCTCTTTCATTAAAACTGCAACCGAAGGCACTGTTGGCAATGCCTCTTCTTGTTTGGAGATGAAATCTAGTTTTTCTCATTTGTGTTCCCATGGCCATAGTGAGCTTGCTCAGTGTACCTCCTAGTGCCTTGATTTGCAGTCTTATTCCTGTCATCCCCAGAAATATCTTGAAATTTCACTTAAGTAAGTTCTTATTTGTTGTTTTATTCTCTTTTTGTCTTCTGAAGAAATAATAGGTTGGTATTTTGAAGAAACACATGAAAATCAAGTAGATGGGTTGGATGACAATTTATAATTTTTTACTTTTAGCATGAAGGCACATTCCAACATCCAGGATTGCGCAGTGAATAAGATGGGATTTTACATGTTCTAATCCAAAGGATAACTGTAGAATAGAGTAGATATAGAGCTCTAATTTTATAGATGAAATACATAACCATATTACTTGGTGACAGAGCTTACATTTTTTCCTGCAGTTTCTTATTCCTAAATGATCGTTTTTTTTCTTGAAAGAGAACAATAGTTATATAAGACTGTAACTGAAATTAATTATTGCAATCGCTACAATTGCTCCAGTCAGTTATTTGGCCAACATAAAAGAGTTTCTTCTACTGGAGTGTAGCTATTTATTTTGCAAACTCTTTGTGTATATAGAATCAACTGGAACTCAAAATTATCTTGTGTGCTTAGTGCCCAAAGTCTTTCAAGTATGGTGAAAGCAGGAGGAAATTCCACAAATTTGGAATATGAATAGAAATCTGTTTTTAATGTACAAGTCTTTTTTTTTTTTTTGTAAAGATGGGAAATATGTGTTAATCACGCATCTTGTTTTTAAACAAAATCTTTCCTCAGGAGAGAGAACGAAGGTCACCAGCATTTAATCTTCATTTAACCACCTTCCCTGAAAACAATGGAAGCGCGCTGCAACTGTTCTGTCAACATGAAGGAATAAAGGTATATGTTGGGCATTAGGAACTGTTGGATGGCCGGAATTGAGAACTGAATATTCAAAATGAATGGTTTTCCATTATTATTATCTTGCTGTAGGGAAGAAAATCTGAAAAATAAGTATAGTAAGAAAATATATTTTTAACTGGGAAAAGGGTTTCATAAGAATACATTGTGGTAGTTTGTAAGGCTTTCGTAAGTGAAAATGAAGACTGATCACTTTCCAAGCTCTTTAACAGAAGGCTGGTTTCTGCTCAGTCCCTTAATAAATGTAATACTACCAGTAGAGGAAGTAGACTGAGAGTGTAGGCTGTGTAGTTCTCTCTCTCTCTCTCTCTCATTCTCTCTCTCTCCATATACAGGAAACTGAGCCTTTACAAAAAAAGTTTAAAAGTCACTCTAGTAATGTCCCTAAATCACAATGAGTGTCATTAACTAACATACAATCACAGACTAGTTTTGATTGGAAAGGACTAAAAAGTTCTTTGTGTTCCAACCACCAAGCATATCACCTTTCAAATAAAGCCTCCAGAGGACTCAACATATTTGTTATTTTAATTTGCATGTTGACTGTAGCTAGTACAGGATCCTGAATTCATTTTTACCTATTGTCTTCTGTTGTGTGAAAGATTTTTCTTTCTTTCTTATTATTTTTATTACTTTTTTATTTCTTTCAATTCTTTCAATTTACTTGCCTGGAAGCAGAGATGCTCACTTCATACGGGCATATTAAATTGTTTGCTTTTGAATGTTTTCAGTGCCTGTAAAAAGTGTTGGTTATTGCCAGCAAACTAGGCATTTGAGTGATGGAAAATCTGATTTGAGTTTTAAATATTTCTTTTTGCTTCTTGTGGAAATTAAATAGAATAAGAATTTTGGGTTTAACAGGGCGAAGACCTGGCATGTCTTACTGAATTCCAAATCCTCACCAGTGAAGGATCAGCTGAAGTTCATTGTCACTGCTGATCAGAATCATTAGCTTTGACTTCAGTCCAGCCCAAATACAAGAGTATTTTAAGCTCTGCACCATTCAAAAATTACTGATGTGCACTATTTAGTAGCTACCGTGGCATGTAGATGCAATACTGCAGTGTTGAGATGGATGGGAAGAGAGGAAGGATACTTCCCATGATAGACCGATCAATACATGATTCCTTATTGGAGCCAGAGTATTCTATTTTATACAGACTCTCTTCCACAGCTGTGCCTGATTTTCAGGCAATCTTTCAATTCCTTATTAAACCTAGACTGGAGTCTACTGGATATAGAACAGTGAACAAATATATTCTGATATAGTTATGTACTTTGCAAGCACAGCTAATTTCACTTCAAAGAAATTTAAAGATCAATCATCCTGACTCCTCATACTATGCAACTGCATAGCACACAAATGGAAACCAGCATGTAACATGCTGTAAGTAATGAAACTAATGAGCCAAGGCACAGCCACTGGGGGATGCTGACCTCTGCTAAGAAGCGCTGAATATGAGAAGTTGAGGGTGCCAGCATTATAATGGCTGTCTTTTTATGTGTGTATATTAAGCATTTTTGGGCTAACATCAGCCAGTCTTTACTCATCCAATCAAACCTTCTTACCTTCAAAAAGCAGAACTGCATACAAGCAGTCAAAGGAAATATCCCTGCTCCATAATAACCTGTGGGCCAAACTTGGAATCATTCTGTTATGTGTTGTTACCCCAGGTTAAGCAGTTCCAGGAACCTTTCCAATAACTTTTATCAATAGAAAATAGGGTACTGCTGCCTAGGAATAGTTCCTGGCACTGTTAAATCTAAAATACAGCCATCATCTGTGGATGTATTCCTCCTCTTTTTTTCATATCAGTGAAGTGTGTTTGCCTTGGTTGCAGTGACTGGGCACTGGTTGCTGTTCTCTGTGGATACGGGGGTGACTGGCAGAGAAATGTGGTTTTCTACTCAGAGAGGTTGTGAGTTGGCAGTGTTTGCAGGAGCACATTTAGCCCGCTGCGCATATTCCCCTCTGCTATGAAAACGCTGATCTGGAACTCTACTGTTTTGCTCAAGCAGAGAAAAAAAATCAACAACATACCTTCTTAGTAATTATTTTACTGTCCCTTTAATTTCTATGGCCTGATGTGTTTCACACTCCACACAAAACTGTGAGGAAAAAAAAAAAAAGCTACTTTATGCCTTTTTATCATTTTTGGTCATTCATTGGTATACATCAGCAGGATGCACAGATCTCAAGTTGCTTGCTATATTCAAGTGATGTTTGACTTTGTTTCTGAAATTATCAGTAACACTTTTGTAGTTATGATGCAAAACTCACGATTAACTTATTGGCATTTCAAGACTCTTTGCATGCAAAGGTACCTAAAATGCATCATGTAAAACTGTTTCTTACCTTCTTTATAAAAAAAAGTATTGAAAATCTTTTTCAGGATGTGAATATATCAGAACTCATGAAGAAACTAGATATTCTTGGAGATAATGGGGTAATGATTTTTAATTTTAAATGTAATACTAGCTTCACTGTTGTTTTCAAGCAGGTGAAAACTGAAATTAAAGTGTATTTTCTCAAGATAGGATTTGATCATGGCTGAATGACTTGAAAGAAAAGATGCTGTAGTAGGCGAAAGAATGAGGCATAACGCAGCCTAGGGGAGAAAATCAAGAAAGTCAAAGCCAGACCAGTTTGTATCTCTTAGGTAGTAATAGTAGTACCTGCTGCAATGAGGATGCCTCTGCAGGAGGATGTTTACTGGGAAAAAGGGCAAAGATAAGTTCCCCTGCATTGCCAAATACAAAATAAACTTCTGGTTATACAGTTGGGGCACAAAGAAGCATGGAGATTTTTACAGGTAGCTTTAACAGTTTGGCATATTTATTGTATTAATTTTAAGCTCCAGATTTACTTTTTATGCTGCAAATTGTGTGGCTATTTCTATAAGAGTTGCACTTTTATATTCTTTTAAGGAATAGAAGCATGGCTCTGAACTGGACTTGAGGGAACCTTCGCTGCTGCATAGCTATATATATAATATAGTGAACTGCTATTTTGTATGGCTAGAAAAAAAAAAATCAAAGCCCTTGATGAAAACAAGTTGGTTCTCATGAAATAGTAAACAGATGCAAAAGAACTGTTGAGTGATATGTTGAATTCAAGCAGAGATCAAGCACTATTTTAAATTTTCAGTCGTTAAACTTTTCCTGATCATGTTTATAAAGTGTTAAATGTAACTTCTTTACTTTGATTCTCTATGTTGCAGTTAAAATTCATCACTTGTATTGAAGACTGGATTTCCAATCCAATTTAAAATGCATTTTTTTGTATTTTAGAATTTGAGAAATGAAGAACAGGTTGCAATAATCCAAGCTGGGACTGTACTTTCTCTCTGCGAAAAGGTAGAACTCAGTAAAGATTTTTGTCTGTCTAAAAGACCAACCACATCTGCTGAGATCTCATGTAGCTTTGTCAGAGAAGCATGATTTTTCTGCTAAAGGGATCTGGACAGGAGCATATATTCATGATTTTATTGGGATTGCAATGTTTTGAGATATAATATAACGTTTAAATGAGATCAATTTAAAAATAAAAACTTTATCTGGAGATATTTCTTAGAATAAGTTACTAAAAAGCCTCTGGACAAGAGTAACGTCATTCTGAGAAGTGCCTACATTCTCCAGTGGACTCTCCTGGGCTGTGAGGTTCTCTCTAAGTCTCACTATTAGTCCACTTTGGCCCACTTCAGTCCACTTCTATGCAAGGCAGAGAAGTCTGAGTAGCCCGTGGTCCTTTGATCTGTATAGTGGGCAAAAATAACAAAAAAATGCAAGATAAATAATTAGTCAGGTCACTCAATGACTAGATATTTACTTCTCCAGTTAGAGAATGAACATAATCTACATATGAGTAATGATGACATTTAAAATGAAGAATAACTTACCTTCTTGTTTTTTTACTGAAGGAACTTCATCCCTTCCTTTCATAGTTAACTACAAAATCACAAAAGTTTAAAATTGAAATCTTAGCATTTTGTTGAATAAATTATCATTGCTTTAACTGACATTATTTTATTAATCTATTTATCTTAGTATCTCAACTTAGATAATTTAAATAAAGCAAATTAATAATTATTAACCTAAGTGAGTAATTACTATAAGCAAAATAATAATAATAATGAAGAAGAGGGCTAAAAGAGCTATGCTTCTGACTGTACTATAGCATGAAAAAGATGAGGTAATGTTCACTGCCCTTTAAATTCAATAAGTGGGAGAAGACTGATAAGGAAAGATAAGATATGGCCAGTCTTTAGGGGTGGGACTGAGTTATCATTACTCAAATAAGTCCTTGCATAAAAACTGTCACTGGAATTAGTCAACTTTTTAACTGGTGTCAGTGGTGCACCTTAGAACATACACTCTTATCTGTAAGCTAGCAACAGATTATCTCTCTCTTATCTGTAGCAACTCTTATCTGTAGCAACAGATCACAGTAATAAGGAATTGGCAGTTTTGTAAGCAGAAGTAATTCTTCAAATTAATAGAAACATAAAACTAATGGCAGTAAAAGTTGTGCTTAAATTTCATTTCAAGTAAAATAGTGGAGTTTTTTTGCTTTGTTTTTGTTTGGTTGGTTTTGTTCATTTGTGGGGTTTATATGGCCAGTTCCTAGTTTGCATTAAAGGATTTTTATGGTCATTTTACCATAGAATCCAATTTTTATAAAAACTCAACACTCATTCAGAAAGATGGAGTCTTTCATTTTATCTTTCATAGACAAATAGACTACATTAAATGAATGAAATAAAAATTGTTCATCTTGTCTTTGGACTTTTCTGCAGTTTCAGTCAGTGCCTCACAGTAACCTAATAAGCACCACCTGGCAGACAGTTAAATGAAAAGGAAACTCTGAGAACCATGAAACTTTTTGTCCTTTTCCTGGTGGATACTTGAGGTACAATCTAATCAGATGACATCAAATAACTCCGTAAGAAAGCACTATCCATATCCAAAAATTTACCAAGGCAAGGAAGACAAGGAATAGGAGAAAACAGTCTTGTGCTGTCTTCAATATAAGAAACACAATACCACACATTTTCTTAAAGTTCTACTTTTTACAGCACACGTTGGGGGAGATAAAATGTAAAGTAAAATACAAAATCTGATAAACAAGACTAGATTATTGCTTTAACATAAGTCCTATTGGATACATTGACAATTTAGGTTAGAAGAAATCTAAAACAAATCTACTGCCTTTTCTCATATAATGTAACTATCTCAGATGTCCTGCTATGTGAGGGACAGATCCTTAGTTATGAGAAGCTATCATATGTACTCACCTTATAATGAGATCTTTGATATAGAAAGGCATTACAGACGTAGATACGCCAGTTGCATTCATGCATGCTAGTTATTCACGCTTAATGTTTATTTCAATCAAATCTATCATACTCAGCCATTAGCAGTAATTTTTTTGGAAATCAAGCTGCTAGGCAAAGAAGGTTTCTAGGTACTGCTGCAACATTACCAGGAGCTTGCTTTGAATGCTACAACCAATTATGACTCATAAATACTTGCTTGTCCTTTTGTACCCTTATGTTCCAGAATGACTTACATGCATGAGAAGAACAGATTCAAAATTTAGTTCTGCATATCATGCATAGGTTCAAAAAATTAGACCTCTAATTCTTGCAAACAACCTTTCGTTTGCAACTATTGAGGGTTACTGTGAGAGATGCTGAGTACGTTCAATTTCTATTGATTTAAAGGGTTCCAAATGCTCACTTGCAGAATCCTTTATCAGTGATGCAGTTTTGTTTAGCAATATCTTCCATCCATCACCTTCAAAATAAAGAACACAAAGATTATGATGAGAACTGAATATGAGGTACCTGGTCATTTCTTTCAGCTTTGTATTCTAAGATAAACATACTAAGTAGATAAAACAAGACTCATTTTTTTATCCATCAATCTCTTGAATAGTGGAAGATCCAAAAGCATCAATTCATTAATTCACATTTTGCTTATTTGTAAAGCAAAACCCTAAATTTAAAAAGTTGATGAGTAATTCTTATCCAAAGAATTAAACTAAATAGGAGCAATCTATTAAAGTGATAATTATCCATTCATCAGTGGCAAAGTCATGGTTGGACTTAATTGGAACTGGCCCTTGGAAAAGAAGCATTAGTCTAAACTATGCTCTCTGAAAACGTTGATCCTTATTGTAGACAAATAAAAAAGAAAATAAATGAATACAGACAGAGCATTCTTACTCATTCTGATAAATTCTGAATATAATATCCGATAAATTCTGAATATAATATAGTCCTGATGGTAGTTAATTAAGTAATTAAGCAAATACCTTCTATATCTGCACTTAGCTTTTACAATATTCAATGGCTATTCTTCATCCTCTTTTTTTTTCTTTGCTTATCCCCACAATAATAAGGGTTTTATGAGAGCAATGTTAACTTCTGTTTCCATTTATTTTTTTCTTCTACATTACTAATGTTTTAGAAGTGTATCTCTTATCAGTAAAGTCTCAACAAACTGCAAAATAAAGGCTCAAGCTTGCCACTTTGTCTTTTGTTTGTACTGGGAAAGTGCAGAGCTGATGCCATCATAATGTTTTTACGAATGAAGACAACAAGCATCGGTATATTAAACTGGGAAAAATCAGGCTGATTTTACATTGTTCACCAAAGTCAATGTTGAATTCTACAGGGGGAAGGAGTCTTTAGTTGTTAGAAAATAACCTCCACATTACTTTTGACTATGTTTCTACAGTCTTCCATTCTGCTTGTTTTCACAACTTGCTTAGTCATGCATTACTTCAAAGTGAATAGATTAATATGTTAGAAGCATATGCCTGGGAACTTTGGGAACAAACTTGCAGAATGTTTGGTGCAAATTTTTCAAAAGCTCTGTTTTTTCACTTCTTATTTTCTCCTTTTTATATTGCTGTTTTCATGCAGTGGTTAAAACAGATAGAGGGGACAGAAGCTGCACTGACACAGAAGATGTTAGACCTGGAGAATGAGAAGGTAAGGAAAGGACACCAAAAACATAATTCATTTGGTTAAACTCATTTCAAAAGCAAGTGTTTAAGCTTCAACACAGGTTGCTTTGCTGCTTTTCTCTACTTAACTGAGATTGTTTCGTGGTAGAATTTGCAAGAGGTATCCAGAACTGTTTCTTTCTTGTGTTCTTTGGAGCGGGATGGAAGTGTCAAAGGCAATCTGGAGCAAAAATACTAAAATAGACACAAAATAATACATGAAGGTATAACTTTACAGAGCAGATTAACTGAACAGTGTGAAATTGTGCTTTCTCTGTGCATTAATTTGTCTGCCAACAGCATCATCTTTTTAATCACGCTAGAAGAATTGTCAAGGATATTTCTTTGGTCTCTGATATTCCATCTCTGGACAAATTGTAAAGGCCTTCTTTTACACCCTTACCTTTTCACATGTTAAGCAAAGAGTTTTGAAATATTTGCTTGCTTTTATTGGTTTGCCATGCATGCTGTGCTTTTCATCTTCAAATGGCCTTACAAAAACAATTTAACCCTCACCACCTTTTCCAGGTAGATAAGTAATCAACATTACATGCATCTTAGAGAATAGGAAACAGAGGCAGAGAGGTTAAGTGATTTATCCAGAGCCACTGAAGAAGTGTGTATTTGGACCACACAAAAAGAGAAATGCTCAGACTCTGTTCTCTGTTGAGTGTAGCCTATCATGTTGGTTTTACTTGAATATGAGTATCCATTCCATATTTAGCATTTCTATTTTTAACTCATTATGGAAAAATGGGAAAGTTTTAGAGAGGTTTCTATATAAGAAAGGAATTGGAAAATGACAATTTCTTTCTAACTTAGTTTATCTTCCCATTTAATGTCTGTAATGTTTTTAGAGGTAGCCCTCTAATTGTTAAAATAGCAATCTGAAAGTCTTAATTGCTGATGGTTGTGTCTCTAAAAACTGAATTATGAAGTGAGTTTAGAAATAATATTCTATCATGCCACTGATTCAGAAGTCCTTGGAGCCTATGTAAAGAATTCAAGATCTCATTCTTGGTCTCTCTTGCTTTCTTGGCTATCTTTTACAATGACTTTTGAAGAGGTAATATGATCCAGAGCAGCTGCGCTGCTGTTCTGGGATCTGCTGGTAGCTTGATTCTCTCTGTAGTCTTGGGCAAGTCAGTTGACTCTACTTTGAGCCACTTGTAAGCAGCTTCAGACCAGACCTGTTCTTTACTTTGCTTTACACAGTACATCTTCTACAAGCTGTTGCCATGGAGCTGTTGCCATAAACTATCTAAGAAAATAATGTCACCTGGGCAGTCGAGGTGGGATACAATATAGTATCTAATACCATATTACATTCTTCAGAATTATGTCTGTGAGAGGCTGGGAAACATGTTCTGTAGCACTTGCAAGAGACCGCTGTCTTTCTGGAGGGCTTACAGGCCTTTCAAGCATTAATTTGCTGACCGGAAAAGATTTCTTTTAAACCAGATGTTTGCAATGAGAGTTTGCCATCAGTACTGTTCACAGCCATGCAAATTCTACACTGGCATGCATATGTCATGTGCAATTCCAACAGTTTTTAAGTGTTTGAAGGTAAAATTTGACCAAGTACTTTACTTGAGGATAATCCTCAATATTTTTTTGTACTGTCAACATACATACACTTTACAAGCAAGTCCTTCTGTTGTATTTGGAGATGGTCATAGTTGTAAAATAAATTGATGGATGTAACAAGACTGGTGACATTTACTTTATATACTAATAAAAGCTAGAACAAACATAGTAAGATTCCTGTATAAACAAACTGTGATTTATTTATGTATTGCATACTATATGTATGTCAGCATGGATTGCAAGTGTTTGTTAAGTAGAATCAAACTTTATGATATTAAATTTGATCAAAAGGCCTCTGTTTTCTACCTAGAGAGGAAAATTAATAAAACCTATTTTAAGTTCTACTTACTATCACTGAAGCACTCTAGTTTTCCTTGTAGTTTGACTATTCTTAAAACTGTTTAAATGTTCACAACTTTCCTGCATCATCCTCTCAGATTCTGAGTTTCACTGAAATATCAGCTATAAGTTATTAATTCTGTGGAAGTTAGTTCATTTGATTTTAAGTATATAAAAAATCCTTGGTATGTCAAAAACTTCTTCAGCTCTGTAGTTGTAGTCATTTAATCTCTCTGGGTAGCACATTACCCATTTTGAATTGGCTCTACAAGCTGAAAACTGAATTTCTATTCCTATTTCATTAATACATCATGGATTATTGCTGCAAGATCCAGCTCGGGCACTGCACCTTCTGATATTCTGCCTGGAAGAGGCTAAACAACACAGATTTTGGGTTGTTTCATGATTTCCTTGAGGGTCATACTGAACATTTTCAGAAAACCATTCAAGTGCCCTTACTGCTGTTATCACCACCCCTTCCTTGACCTGTTTGTTGCCATTGGACCCCATGCATGCACATTCACAACCTTTGGTTGCAACAGATCAAGGCAGCGTTGTACACTGATGTAGAGGTCTGCACTACCTGGGTGCAACTTGTTGATAGCACGCACATATTTTAAGTGCCTCTGTTGTAAATTTGATATCCAAATATCCTTCTGATGAATGTTGTCACTGACTATAGCTTTTCCTTTACTTTCAAGTGGAGAGTTTACATGAAAATGATGGTATTTATGATTCGTCATGAATTAGGATAAAGAACAAACACTTCCTTTTTTTTGTTGTTGCTCAGGACCTGTTCAGTAAACAGAAGGGTTATTTAGAGGAAGAGCTCGACTACAGGAAACAAGCACTGGACCAGGCATACATGGTAGGAAAAGAACAGTCATTCAATTTTCATGTTTGAACAGACTTGATAAAATATATTTTTTTCTTTTGACTTTAAATAGAGTTCTCTTTTAATTTACTTAGTGTTCTACCAGTCTGGGAAATCAATTGCTACGTGAATGTGGACTTAGGAAAGGGATTGTAGTATTTAGAAGTGTCATGATTTTTTTTTATTTTTTTTTAATTCTAAAATACATTAAATTCTTGTTAGTGCATCTAGAATGGTAAGAGCTGGTCTGTCTGTGCATGAAATTATCCTGGTAAAATATACCAAAAATAATTGTCGAGCTCCTCCAGTATTACTTTTCCCTAAGCATTTGTAAGTATTGCTGGGAATGCTTATTCTTCCCATGTCCTTTCTTGCTGTGCTGCGCTCTCCTACCTAACCTTACTTTTCCTAGTTTTCAAGTGGAATGCTGCAACCTTGCCTTCTCTCAGGCTATGCAACACAAAATGAAGCCTTGGGAATGATCTGGGAATTGACAAAACCACACACTTCACTTTCTTAATAGTGAGACTTCGGGAAATCAAAATACAATGGCATGAAGAACTGTTTATACATCATAAACATTTCCTATGGGGAAAATATTTTCAGGAAAGGAGCAAGGTCTTGTGCTCAGAGCAGATGACAGATGGAAGCAAGCAGGCTCTATTTCTAGCACTGTGACCTTGGGCAAGCCATTTAACCTCTCTGTGCTGCTGCTTATACATCGCTAATATGGATAGAATTACCTACCTCAGAAAGGTGTTAAGAGGGCTAAAGGGATGTTGTCAGATGCTTTTGAACTAAATAGCTCTATGTTGTTTTGTAGTGGGAAATATAGAAATATGCTGACCACAGGAGCAAGAGAAATACTGTTATGATTCCTTTCTTTCTTTCCTCTTGGGAATATGGTTCTCCATATAGATTATCCTGTGCTCTCTGCTTTGTCAAGTGCTGCAGTTTGAGTTAGTGTATTAGAATCTGATTAGCAGTCTGACAAAGGGTGAGAAACTGAGGAGAGATTAGTGCACCCTGCAGTGTTTCTCACCTCGTTGCTTACAGTCATGGGTAACAAAGGGAGTGAAGTCGATGTTGATCAGTGGATAGCAAGACAGTGAGGCCAGAGAGAACGAAGGCACTACTATTTTTGTTGTTCACAGCTTTTTTTGCGTACGCTATGGACTTTTCATTTTGTAGAGTGACTTAGCAACTCAGTCGCAACAGAAGGCAAACTTTCAGTTTTTGGTGATTTTGTAATTTTCAGTAGCAGGGTTTGGGGGGGTTTTGTCACATATTAAAAGCAGACCTATTATCCGGAACTTTCAGAAGAAATTAATCATGTAGTAGAAGAGAAATCAGCCAGGTGTGTACTGGTGCTGGGTGGTTCTGCGCACTGTGTGTGGAATGCTCCTCACTGCTCATGGCTGCTGCTTTCTGTCCTGTTCCTGTCCCATGTCTGTGTCCTTCCTCCCTCCTGCCCACGGCTGTGCTCGCTGGCCTTCTCCTCAAGCTGCGGGTGGGTTGTGTGCTTGCTGGGTTCAAACGGCAGCCTGTCTGTATGTGATTTGGGTTGCCTTAGAAAATCCAGGAGCTGGAAGCCACGCTGTATAATGCCCTGCAGCAGGACCCGGGAAGGCGGGCGAGCGAATCGCTGACTGAAGCCCAGAGGGAGGATTTGCGGGCTGCTGTGGAGAAGGTGCGGCGGCAGATCCTGAGGCAGAGCCGTGAGTTCGACAGCCAGATCTTGCACGAGCGAATGGAGCTTCTTCAGCAGGCCCAGCAGGTAATCCCCGCTCTCTCTGCACCCTCCTGTCGGCGTTACTCTGTGGTGGCTGCCACTGCCCATACAGCAGCACCTCACCGCACCTTGTCAAGTAGGGCTTAGTCTGTACCTTGCACTGCTCCCTCGACAGGGAGATGGGCAGTGGGAGGACACTGTGGGCCTGGGCATGGTATGCACGCAGAACAAGCCACTGTCTCACTACAACATCCTGTTGCACAGTCTGCTTCTTGTGTGTAGAACTACAGTCATCCACAGGATTCCATGGGGGATTATTGTGAGTTACGTTAGGAAAAGCCAGAATGGAGGGAAACTTGTATGCCTTAACACTATGAGAAATATTAACAAGTCTTCATGCCTCAACATTGGTTCAGAAATGCCTTGTCTCCTTCAGGACAAACACAGCATAGATGCAGGGAAATTCCTGCCTTGTTTCCACAAGGTAATTGTTTATTAAAGAATCCTTTATATGATGACAGGTCGTTCTGTTCAAATATTCATGGAGAGAAGAGAACTGCATGGCTTAGGGAGTTAATTATTTCAATAGGATTAATTCCTGTATGGCTCCTCATTATGGTAACATCTGGAAGATGCAGCCAGATGTTGTAGGTCTTGGAGACTGCCCTCTGGTTGCTCTGGCTGCTTTCTATGCAAATCTGGAGTCACGTATTCGAAACATACTATGCAAATGCATGCAGGACGTTATTGCTATTTCAAGTACTGGTTACTGGGTTAGGAATTACATTTCAGTTTGGCTCAAGCTCTGTTTCAGTTTGTTTGTAGATTAACACTGACTAGATCAGTATATTATATTAGTTCTAGCACTGCTGTGTTCATCTTCTCTCATCCTATAGTGATGAGAAATGCTGACAGTGTTTGAATTGAGCTCTGGCTTTCTGAAAGTCTCCTTTTTATTACTCCCTGAGTATGTTCCCTTGGTTTGGGAGATGTAACGCTGAGATTAGGAGGGTATGAGCAACTCTTAAATCTTTGTTAATGAGTGTCCAATCAGTGAAGGTGTACAGAAAGTAGACACAAACTAGTTGTAAAAGAAAGGGTAGAGTAAATCTATGAAACTTGATCAATTAAGATAGAGTCCAAAATTATTTGCTTAATGTTATTATCATGATTGAAATTATTGAGAATGGGTTTTAGTTGCCAGTTTCTTAGGCAGTCTGATCTTCTAGCCAGAATTTTGATATATATATATATATTTTTTTTTCAGAACTAGTAAATACTGTTTCTCACTGACATTTAGTAGGAGTGAATGAGATTTTTGTGTTGCTACTGATTAGTGAGTACAGCATCAGTCTTTTTACCTCTTGTAGTAACTCTGAAAGTTAAAATAAAGAAATAAATCTCTTTTTGGCTCTAAGCAATCACAGATCTATCTTTGCCCAGAGCCTTTGAAGAAATACCTTATACATCTGAGGAATACACATTTTTATAAACTGTATAAATCCCATTTATCTCTCATAGACACTTATTCAGTCAGGTGCTGCTGAGGCTCATGGCATTTCAGATTTTCTTTAGAGTTTGTCTGTTGCTAGATCTGACAGATGATAAAGTTTTATGTTGATATTTGCAAGAGTGAGCTTCAGAGGATCACTTTTCCTGAACACTTGGTTCTAAGCTCTCTACATCTAAGTGATGTACAGTGTGAGATTTTTCCATTAGACTAGATACTATCTGGTCCTTTGTTTCTATCTGGCATGTATTCTTTGAGGGACCACAATGGGCTAAGACCTTTCTGTGGCCCCACTGTACACCTGGGCAGAGCTTCTGTTTAAGCATGATATTGACAAATAGGTTGTTCTAATAGAAGTAGATTTGTAGACCAAAACACTTCCTTCCAAGGACACTACAGCTATACTTAGTGCATTTTAGATGTTTACTTTGGATTATTAGTTTGGGTTGTTAGTTTGGTCCCATGTACTTCTCACTGAAGATATGTTGGAACATACCTTCATTTCAGTCTGGTTTATTTATTTTTGGATTGCTCCACGCATAAAGTTAAATACGATGGATTATAGAATGGTTTGTGTTGGAACGGACCTCAGAGATCATCTAGTTCCACCTGCTGCTGAGGGCAGGCTTGCCAATCACTAAATCAGGCTTGTCCAGGGCCCCACCCAAACTAGCCTTGAATACCTGCAGGGATGGAACATCCACAACTTCTCTGAGCAACATATTCCAGCACTTTGCCACCTTTTCATTGAAAATTTTCCCCTGACATCTAGTGAAAATCTCCCGTCCTTTGGTTTAAAACCATTGCCCCTTATCCTATATGGGATGCGACTTCACTTCTGCCTAAAGCAAAATGGTAATGTAAGCATAGCCTCATTAACCGTGGGTATTTATGTATCTGTCTCCAGATCCACTTTATAGTGTGTCATTGGAATTTTGTGTTGTGCCCATCTCAACATACTAATGTTATAGCCCTGCAGGACATGTTAAGCTAATTCTGCTGCCTAATAAGAAGCTAAGCATTTTAGTCATCTATTTTTAACCCCCTGTTGTTGACAGGAAAAACAAAGTCAAAGATGGCAGTTAATTTCCCCAAGGTGTGGAATGCAAGCATATTGCATTTGAAATCCTTTACTCAGTTGCTTCTCAGTTGTTTTCTTCCTGAGGTTTGTATTTGTATGGGACCAGTGGTCAATGCTGATAATCTAGTAGTTGTGTGCAAAAATATGTACAGCTTATAAAAACAACAGAGAAATAAACAAAAAGCCATAGTATGGAACAGTAGTATCAGAGGGCTAATTCTCACAAGACTAAATGTGTATGCCATAGCTGGTGACAGAAGCTGAAATCTACAAAAAAGAGAGCACCTTGGAGTTGGCAGTCTTCACACAAGCATGAAGCTGTTCTAAATGTGCTAAATATCCTTAGATACTACATTAAATGAGTGTCCTCTTTTCTTGATAAATTTATGGACACCAGAGGTTTTGTTGACACAGGGTCATTAGCAAGCACCAACTACACTGTATTCTGGCAAAAATGTGGTCGAGACTTGTTCACGTTTATGCACTTTACAGTGCTTTTGCTGTATGCACTGTTCTTTATCTCCTGAAATGGAGGATAAGGAGAATGACATGGCAGCATGATGGACCTGCTGGTTTTACAAAAAAAGGTAAATGTTTTTTTTTCTGGAGAATGTACTGTCTGAAGAGTATGCAGACATGCATGAATAAAAGTTGTCCAAAGTGGGCCTGTGCTGCTTTATGTGTGCTCATTTGTGTAGTTATGAAGCCCTAGTTTTTAGTCACTCTGTTTAAATGTTTGAGTGCAACATCTATTAGGATGTTAAGCCCTGTTTTGCATTGGTAGCTCTGTTCATCTTTTGCCTGTTTAGCCTCACATTATTATTATTAGTGTATAAATAGAATCATTCATGTGTATCCAATATGCATGAAGGAAACCAGGCTTCCATGGAACCAAATCAGACAAACACTGATTAGATCTGCTTGCTAAGACATACAAAACTTTTACTAACTCTGAGAGCAACATGCAGATCTGGGGGACAGACCTGTGGCTGAAGCATAATGACAGTATTTCTTTCAAGTCATAGATGGTGCTTTGATTTCCATCATCCCCTCTGTTTGTGGGAGGAAAGATATGTTAATTAAAAATGTGTCACAAGCAGCTTGTGCTATTTGCTCCTAGCCATAGGGTGCATGCAGTTCCACTGCTGTTCCTGTATTTGTTATATTGTATGCTATAGTCATGAGTTTTTGTAAGCCAGTTTATTTCTAACAGGACTTCTTTTAAAATTAACATGTACGCTTTAGCCTGTGCAGAGCCATGACTTTTGTGCACTTGGGAAATTCTGAGCATTATTTCTAGCTGGTTCTGTGAGGGAGGGGATTTTACATAAATAACATGCTTCCCAGTAAGCATTTTCTGGAAAGGAGAAAAATGTGATGGTGTAGCTATAAAAAACCACTGCTAGAAAAGATTACTTCAAGTAGAGCAGTACAGCAGTAGTGATATCAGCTTCTTAATTAAGCAAGCTCTGTTTACTCTTTTTTTTATAATTAAAAAAGTAAGAGCCACGTTGCTGAATCTCCTGAAAAAAAGTTTGTGTGTTAGTTCCCTGATGAAATTAGTAAATTTTAAAGGTCAAATTTTGCTTTATTGTTTATCATATAGTACCTTTATTCCAGTATTAGGTGTAGCTCGCATCTGCAGTAAGAAACTGTGGAAAGTGATGAGAGTCAAGTTCTAAATTAGGATAGATTAAATTACATTGCACTGTTGGCTGTCTTCATACGTGAGGAAAATATATAATCAAATCAGAATTTATTCTTGATTTCATTTAAGTGATTTTAAATACAAGAAACTAGAAAATCCTTGAAGAACACCAGATTAACCCTCTCCATTCCAAAAGTGTTTGCTGCCAATTAGAAAGGATGTGGGAGACAGATTTTATTAATGTAATCCAACAATTTCCCAGATAAGTCTTAACATTGCATAAAGGTATTAGAAAAAAAAAAAAGACCTTTTTTCCTCTGAGTTGCTTTGTAATCACCATACTAAGCTGAGATGGGGAGAACAGTTTAGCTTAGTTCTAAACTCAGTTTAGAATATTGCTGAGTGAAGCCCAGTTTCACAGAGTAAAGGAAGCTGTCATTTCATTCCTCTGAAATTCTGAGGGCATCCAAATTCCAGCCCCAAATAGTTAGAATATAGCTGTAAACTTTTTAACTGTGATTTCTTGAAGCCTTTACTCCTATGACCAGGCAGAATTATTCATCAGTAATATGAACACAAAACACCACTTTGCACATTTTACTGGAAGGAGGCACAGGACAAGAGTTCTATGAGAAGGCAAGACACCTTTCTGCTTATAAGTTCAGCATGGCAGATGCTATTCCTCTATGCTAACTCATAGGCAGGACAATTTTTCCATACTATCATGTAGTATGTGGGAGATAACTACCTTGTTCACAAATGCATAGGATAGAATCAAACTGTGTCTATATGATTCTATTAGCTCA